TTCTCCACACCAAATGACGATGTTTAGGAGACAAATGGTCTCCTCAAATGGCATCGATGGAGGGAACCACCCTAGGCCAAAGATTTCCAAGCCTGGCTCTGGCAAGCACCCGGCCCTTCCGAAAGTTTTACACGTTATTTGAGTTGGCGTTTTATATCCTTAGGGAATACTGCCGTTTCCCTTTAGTATAGCAGGAACATTACCTAATTCAAGGGATTGAGAACCCAAGTGTTGTAAAATCTGAGCTAAAAGGCTTTCCATTCATCAAGCTGTCCTGGTATACAACTTCGTGAAGCGGCTACTCTCGTGTGCCCTGACTCTGTGATACACGTAACACAGGAAGGGTTGGTTGGCAGACACTCCTCCCAGACCCCAGGCTGCCGCTCCTGCGAGCTTTAACAGCAGAAGGTAATTGGCAGGACGTCAAGACCACAAGCAAATCGGTGAGAGCACGCTCATCCAAAACTAACCGCTTTAATTGTTTAAAAGGGAGAAAAAGGAAAAAAGGAGAAAAATTTAAAGAAAAAAAGTCCCCATCTGCCAAGTAAGGGCTTGTAAATCAATGGCGATTGCTTGAAAATAGATTTCTCAAACTTATATTCTCATTCTGTCCTGCACGAATCTCTGCAGGAAAATCAATATTACAACTTCACACTTAAGACATTTTGCAGCACCGTAAACTGCCGCGCGGCTGATGGACGGGCTCGGGCTCGCAGCCACCGGGCCAGGCGCCGGCTCGCAAGACACGGGCACCGAGCTCCCCCTAGCGCCCTGCGCGCCAGGCAGCCTGCCGGCAGGCTGGCCAGCCACCCAGCCAAGCCACTGAAAGTTTATTTTGGAAACTATTTTATCACAAGGAGCAGCCAGCCCGGAATGCGAATGCGAAGCCGTCGAGATGGGAGAGGTAAAGCGCTGAGAGGAAGCCTGGTTCTAACCCACCCGACGGTGCAGGGGCTCGTCCAGCTGTGGCTCCTGAAACCAGCGCCAAGCTGTCGCTGCCTGGAATTTGTAATTCAACTGCAGCCCCACGTCACCTGAGACAGCGTTCTAATTACTGTCAAATGCACCCACAGCCGGCCTGCCCCTCGGTCAGTCCCGCACGATGAGCACCAGGGTATCTCTCCCAACACTTTAACCCCGGCCCCCACCCCGTGGTTCTGAGAAGCAACTGAATTCACCTCAAGATTGTTGAAACCATTCGTTCTCTAACACTGAATATTGTGACGGTCAGACAAAAATTACCAAGCCCAAATGCAAGTAGATAACAACCTTTGCCCCTCTCCAAAAAAGACATACGCCTATGTACAGATCTTCAGGTAGGGGGGGAAATACCCTTTAAAAATATTAAGGGTTGTTAAAATATGCTCCCGGCTGTTTTCTCTCAGGTGTGAATTACAAATGAATAAAATCAGCCCGGCATAACACCTTTGATGAACACATTTTTATTCTCCCGTGGAATCAGAGCAGCTGACATGTCACACTTCTAATGATATGGGCTTCCCTTCTGTGCACAAGGGAGACAAACATCACTGCCCCCCACCAGCTACCAAAAAGGAAAGGAATCAGAAAGAGGGCCTATGCCTTATGAAATTGATCGGAGGCCTGATCTTCAAAGATAAGTGGATCTCTGGAGACAAACTAGACCCTAGGGATGGATGGGCATTGTGAGGACGGCCACCTTCGCAACCTATGGCGGCTGACAGACCTAATTTGAGAGACCACTATGGGGTCAACACGGCCTAACTTCCACATCCAATCTTGGGTCTCTCACTGTTTTTGCAAAATCATGAATTCATACAGAAAACCACTAACCTCCCAAGGAAACCTGTTGGTGGGCTGTAGAAAAAAATCACCTCCGTGTGGGGGTTACGTAATTTACCGTGGGCTTCTTGTTTCCTTTGGGAAACCTGGTGCCCTGCAATGGACTGGACAACACTTGCCCTGCACCCTGACACTGCTTGCCTGGCTCTGGGGCTCGTGGCTCTTCCTCTTCCTGGTCAGCCACTGCCCCCCCACCCCCCTTTTACAATCATACTGTGTTGTTCTGTTTGTTTTTATTAATAGCTGTATCTGTCCTCTGGTTTTAAAAGCCATATCCATATCCATCTGGATCAAACATTTTGAAACAAACCAGGAGCCCAGGCTTCCATCTCCAGCTGTCTCCTACTCTTTCTACCTCACCCCTCTCCTCCTCGGCCCTGTCTGTAAGTGTAGCTAGCTCGTAATGGAGCCTCCACCCCAACCCCAAGCTTATGGATGCAATCATGGCCTCTCCTGACTTCCCGGGTCACCAGCAATTGTAAATTGCATCATCTCCTAGAACCCGAGGCTGCTGCCCCACAGGCCCGCAGGCTGCCTACCGACTGATAAAGATACTGCCATGCTGTAGGTGGCTTCTTCCACATTTCAAATCTCAAATGTGAGCCCCGGGTAGAGGCTGTGACAGAGGGCACCTAACCAGGGGTTGCTAACCAGGGCTCCCCAGCACCCCAAGTCAAGCAGGCCCATCCCCAGGCCCTGCAGCCTCGACTGCATCTCTTTCCTGTCTTTCCCCTGCCTGCTCCCACCTCCTGGGGTTACACAGGACAGGCTGAAAAGCCAGCTGCTTGGGGATAATAAGTAGCCTTGTCTGAGAACTGGTTGGACCACTATCCCTGCTTAAACCCCTGCACAAACGCAGGCTCCCTGTGCCCCTGGAAGACAGGCAGGGCTGCTGTGCTCTGTCCGCCACTCTCAGCCTCTTTCTCCTTCCTTCCTTGCCATTTCCCCAGTGTCAGCTGGCTTCCCAGCCCGCTTGAAGAGGCTCAGAGGCAGGGAACAAACACAGCGTGGAAGGAGGTTGCAGCAGGCACCCTTCGCGCTGTGTGCAGCTGCCACCAGTGCTGGCCAGAGCTCTCCTGCTGCCCCAGGGATGCCGGGGAGGGGACAGCAGAGGCCGAGCAAACCTACCTGCCTCTTTCCCTCACAATTGCAAGTACTCCCGGCTCCTGTCACAGCTGCCACCTTGGTAACTCACACTCCACATTTCCCTCTTCTCTGAACCCCCCGACAGCCCCCTCCTCAAAAACAACCCCTGCAATTACGAGGGGGCTCCATGAGGCAAATTGCCTGCTACAGAAATTAGGCGCCTGCAAGTACAGGCACTCACACAACCACCCCACCAAAGGGGGCTGGCATAAGCGATCACTGGCTGTGTTTTGGTGGAGGAACAAAATGTCAACTGCGACAGGGACCTTAATCAAGACAGGCTCAAATCTGGTTGCAAAACATTTTGTTTTAAATGCAACCAGCTAGTCTCCTTTCATGTTACAACAGCAGCAAAAAATAAAAGTCCTCTTCCATCCCTCCAAAAAGGCATCCCTCGCCCACCCCAGAACCCCACTTTAATATCTACTCCTCCCTCCCCAAATAATAATAATAATGATAATAAACCCACAAATTCTTACTAATGGATCTGCTGTAACAAAGGAGAGATGGCAACTGCAATTGCTGGAGAGCAGATGGTTCCTATACTGTGTTTTCAGGGGAGGAGAGAACCCCTTTATATATTTATTTATTTATTTAAATTTTTTAAAATATAACATAAATATTCGACTCTCAGGCCGCCAGGCAGCCAGTCCTCGTCGGCGACTGGGCACAGTCTTCTCTCCAGCTCTTGCTCTGGGAGCCCGGCCCCAGCCCTGCGAGGTGCGCGGAGGATTGCAGGAGTACAATCAGCCTGCGGTTTCGATGGCACCCGGAGGATGTTTTATTTCTATTGCAATAAAAAAAAAAAAAGAAAGGAAAAAAGAAAAATGCAACGGCAACCCAGGCACCAGCGACTGAAAGAACAGCGGGGACGCGTCCGCGCGCGGCGAGGAAGCAGCGAGCCACCTCCCCGTGCAACACCCGGGCGGGCTGGCCCGCGAATGCCGTACCTGGGCCGCGCGCGCTCGCTTTTGCTTTGCAAAATAAACCCAGCCGGGGCGTTGGAAGCCGCTGCGCGTCTGCCCCGCTGCCTGCCTGCACGCCCGGCCACTTGCCTGAAAGCCACACGATTCCCTCCAGTGGCTCTCCACTGCGCCCTGCCTTGTTTATTTAGATAGAGAAGATGAGAGATACTGAGATGACAGATTAAAAAAGATGGATAGGTCTCTTTTTATTTCCTTTTTCTTTAAATTTTTACTATTTTACAAGCGCATCTCTGTTCCTACTTCTGTCAATCTTTTTTTTTCTTTTTTTTACCCGTGGCGTGGATTTTTCACCAACTCCAATCCCTCCACCCTTCTCCCCCCACCCCTTTCCTTTTGGCGTGGGGGAAAAAGAAGACAAGATCGTCCCAGGAGACGGAGGTGGGGAAATGAGGAGGGGAGGGGGTGCTACAGCCCGGCGAACAGCCGCGCAGCTGGATTCTTTTGCAAATAGCAAGAGGAGGGGAGGGAAAGGCGGCTTCGGAATCCTAGGACCGGCGCGGCCGGCGCCCTGCCGGGCTGGGCTCAGCAACCGGGAGCCGGCAGCCGGCGGCCGCCCCTCGGCCCCGGCTCCCCCAGCTCGGAGCGCAACCGGGTCCCCTCCGCCTGCGCCGTCAGCGCGGACCCACGCGCTCGCCAACTTTTCCCCACTTCCCGACTCCCCCTCCCCCTCGCTCCCCAGCCCCCTCCCCCTCCTCTCCAATCCCCGCCACCAGCGCCGCTGCTGCCACACACGCCGCTCCGAGGGGCGAGCGTCCAGCCCGGCTCGGCGCGCACACCCACACCTCCTGCCGCCTGCGCGCCCCCTCCTCGGCCGGGCTCGGGCTCCGGCTCCGGCTCCGCAGGCCCCCGAGCCCGAGGCGCGTCCGGTTGCGCGGCGCCGCGACTCCCCTGGCTGCAGAGAAACTTTGCTAGGGCCCCTCGCCCCCCGCCACGCTCCAGGCCGGCTCCGCCGCTTCCGCCGGCCTTGGTGCGCCCGGCTCGGTGTCCCCAGCCCCGGGCGCCCGAAGCCCCGACCTCGAGCCCCGCGTGCACGCCGCAGACACTTACGCGTGATGAGCTCCCTCTGGGACAAGTGCTGCGGGTTGCCCTGCTTGCGGCGGGACATTGCCCCGGCATCTATTCTGGCATCGCCCGGAGAGCTGCACTGATGGGGCCGGGAAGGGGTCCGAGCCGCCGCCGCCGCCGCCGCCGCCGCGCGCCTCCTCCTCGGCCCGGGTTGGTGCTTTTTCCCCCCCTTCCTTTCTTGCCCTCTCTTCCTCCTCTTCTTCTTTATTTTGCTTTTTCTTCTATGCTGTCTTTTGTTTTGTTTGCAAAAATAAAAAGGAAAGGGAAAAGAAGACCTTTGGGTCTAAAATATGAGAGACAAAAAAAAAAAAAAAAAAAAAAA